TGTTCAATAACATTAAAGGATCAGCCCAGTAATTCTTTACAATTTTTGTTAGATGTTGGAGAGTTAAAGCAACCCCCTCAGGTAAAAGGATTTGGCTGAAGCAGCCATTGTAGAAGAAGGGTGTAAATACTTACCTCTTCCTCTGACACTGCCACCAAATGCTCCTTCATGTCACTACAGAACACAACAGGTGGTCAGCAGGAGCTACCACAGAGTACAGTAGTGGAGAAAGAAGATCAACACTTCAGGGTCTGTTTCTCAGCAGACTTAGAGGAAAATGTATCTTCAGTGGAGTGGCATTTGAAGATGTAGTGATATAGAGAGTACCTTTTTTTTTTTTTTGCAGTGGCAAGTTTGTGCCATTTTGTTTTTACTTGTACTGGGTTGCATTGAACCACCTTGGTTTATCGGTCTTGTGGTTTAGATCTCCAGAGGTCAGGGGGCTATACAGGTGCTGAGCCCATTATGAGGTTAATGATTCACTAGTTACAATCAGGATGACACTTTCCTTGTTGGATTGTTTCTTAAGATTGTGAGCTGGGGAATAGGTAGTGTGTGCAATTGCTCCCTGGGGTGAGCAGTCTTGAAAGGCTTAGAGACCAGTCTAGTGACTTTCCCTTAAACAGTGGTGTGTTTATTGGTACTATAAACAAGCCGTGAATAGTGCTAAAATGAAAAATACAACTCAAAACCCAAGCCATGTCCCAAAACGAACTACACAAAAGATACTCCTGACTATTAACCAGCACAATCCTATTGTTTGTCAGGTATCACATTAACCAACCTTGTGCTCCAGCAGATTCTATCTGGCTGTTCCCCAGGCTCCAGAGTACTGCCTCACCTGCACTAAATTGTTGTGAAGGCAAGGTGTAAAACCTGGGGCTGACTAATGGTCCTGGAAGGTATAGAACAGGGACCTGGGTCCCTGTTCTATACCTTCCAGGACCATTAGTGGGGTCCAGAATGTGCTTGCAAAGGGTAATAGAAGAATGTTAGTTGAAGATGTGTACACTAATTCCTAATTACCTGCATGTAAGGCCCGCTGGGATGGACCTTCAAAAAGTGTCCTGTCATTCCAGAGAGCGCCTTACAGATCTTTATTTTAAACATTCTGAAAGGAGGAAATGTTTGGAATAAAGTATGAGTTTGTAGAAGCAGAAGGTAAGTTTCTGCAAAAAGATATAAAAAACCATTGCAGTTATACATAACTGACTAAAATTGGCCTTTTCCTAGACAAATGTGGAATTTTAGCTTTAATCTCTGGGCAACAATACATTATGTGACCCTAATCTTGTTGCAAACACTGAAGTCTTTACAGGATCCTGCAGATAGACAGCTTTTGGTAAGTGTCCAGCTCACCTGATATGGGCATTCATAGGATCCCCCACCTGTGAAGTTTAGAAAATAGAACCCATACCTGGAACATCCTGTGACCACAGATTTAGGTAAGTATTTGGGACTTTAAGTATAATGTGTTTAACACTATAAATGGGGTAATTGTGGGGGAGGGGCTTATAGTGGCTGGGAACAGTTATTGGGTATAACCACTTGAGTTAAAGTATAGGTGGCCGGTGGCTAGTACAGTTCTATGGGGCACCCCTCAAGTGGTGTTTTCTTGGCACTGGTCAGAGACCTAGGTGGCTATTGCAGTGTGTATTGTTGCACAATTGTTGTGAAGATTTGGTTCATTGATCACAGGTAATGTTACTTAGAGGGTATGTTCTGTTATGACCGTAAAAATATTTTATATTGCTTTGTCCTTTAATTTTCATTAAATGTACATGTTGAAATATGTTGGCGTTAGTGTGTTCATTCCAGGTGGGCCGTGAGAGCAACTTGGTCTTGCATGTCACCAGTAGAGTTGGGCTTGATGTTGGAGCTGAACGTGAGTTCGACTAGATCATTGCTAGTTTGTGTGTTCGCCAAACACGCACACTATTATCAGGTCAGGTGCAATACTTTGCCCAGTCAGGACACAGAGAACTGTGAGAGCCATGATTAGGCAAAGTCATGATGACTCTGCCCAATCATGGCTCACTTGTTACAACTGTAAACAGTTGGGCAGAGATAGCTGTCACTGCTAGCTCCGCCCAATTGTTTATAAGTTGCCGACGTCTGTAAAAATGCCATTCTTCGGCGGGTGTTCATCGCAGCAGATGGGATGGCGGTCGTCGCATTTTTTTCCAAATAAAGGTTTTTTGATTAAAGCCTGGTGTTTTTATTCTATTTTTTAACCCTTTAGTGAAAGCACCCCTTACTCATTCACAAAGGGGGGCCTGCATCTGGGTGCCCCTATATCAAAGGGGTATCCTGATGTGAATAAGGCCCCAGCCCACACCACCACAACCAACGCCTCAGGGCTTGTGGGGAAGAGGCCCTTGTCCCCATTGGCACAAGGACAAGGTGCATTTCCAGGGGCGACCCAGGAACCAGCACCCTCCCAGTGCTGAAGGCATGTGGCCTGGTATCGCTATTCCTGCCCTGCCAGGCCTGTGCTCGGATCAAGGATCTGGTATGGAATTTTGAGGAGGAACCTCACCCCCATTTTTGGGGGGTTTTGGTGTGTTCCAGAGCAGAAAAAAATAGGGCATGCTGCAGTTTTTCCATATGCTCTGGAGCTGAACGCTCTTGTGTGAACTAGAGCCCAAAAGACCATTGGAATACATTGGATGCAGTTTTAATGTGTTCTGTTACTGCTTTGCACTTGGTGTGAACCAGCCCTAAAGGGTCTGGTATTGTTTCAGAGGGGGAACTGCACGCTTTAAAAAAATAGGTCATTTTATTTTCTTTACATTTGTCAGTTTTGCTGCAGCAGGTTCTATACATCGTACAGATGTACCATTTTACAAGCAGTTTAAGGGGACCCCAGGCCCGATATTTAAAGGAAATGTTTATTTTGTGTTACCTTTTAAGTAATGTTAAAAGCACTGCTTCTTTAAAAACTATTTTTTTAAAGTTTTTTTTTTTCATTAATTCATGTGCCCCAGGGCAGTACCCGGATCCCCATACACATTTTATGGCCAATAAATTGCATAGAAGCCTTCAAAATGGGGACATTTGATTTTCAAAATTCTACCCCAATAGCCTTGCATTGCATTAGAGTTCAAACTTTTCCCCATGTTCAAATTCGAACCGAACATGGGGGTTCACTAATCACCAAAAAAGTAAAGAATCCAATGATACATGTAGCACTGAACATCCAATTTAATAAATCTTTAAAATGCCAGCTTGATTTAAAACCAAACATTTGGGTTTTTTTGCAAGCTGGTGGGATTTCATTTCTGTTCTTTTTTTATATTTGTTTCCTATTTAGTTGTTAATATCACATATCTAATTCTTCATATTAATTTCTCTTGTAAACTTCAGATTGACCTGTTACAAGTGCTACTTTTTTTTACCCATCAATTAGATGATCTTCTTGACATAAAGATATGAGGCCAATTCATATTCCTAAGTGAGAAAAGAGGCTAGTGTGGAAGTTTAAAACCTGTGTCAAGAGTTTACTGATGTCTGTGTCCTTATTTGTCCTAGTGAATATAGCTGTCGAGATAGAAATAAAACATTCTACAGCTCAGTCACTACAAAAGAAATATGGGGGTGGAGGCAAAGGGGTTATTTTATTAATGGGGAAACCTGCTCCACTGTTAAATGGCTGAGAAACATATTTCTTCTAGTTTCCTTCGGTGTCTCTGGGACAGGAAGTAAAAGGAAATCTCCCCAAAGGTAAAGATCTTCCAACTACCTTTCCATAAACCCACATAACCCAGTTCACCCAAGCCAGCTCAAACCTCTGACCACCACCCTCTCCTCCCAACCCTGCAAGGCAAGGAATGTCCCACCCTGCAACTGATCGAGTCAGGAGGAGGAGGTGGCTGTCAGAGTTTTGAGTGGCATTGGGCAAACGCAGGTGAACTTTGTTTGCAGCAAACCCAGCCTTACAACTAATCCTTACCAGATGTATAAGTAACCACATGATATTTAAAAAAAAAAGCATATTATCCTGTAAAGTGCGTGTATGTACTGTTCAGCCCAAACATTTAATTTTGGATAGATTTGGCAAGTATTATAACCTCTGTCAAGTTGTTATTGCTTTCTGTGTGTCTGTTGACCAGGTTCACTTCTCCATTTATCCAAGAGACCATTGTTACTGGGACAGAAAATAAGAAATCCATGTTACTAGAACATAAAATGAGGAAATATTCAAATGCAGCATGTTTAACTGTCTAAGAGGGTAAAAACACTCAATTTGTAGAAATTTTCCTCTTGTTGCATCACCAGGGCAAGAAGTGAAAGGCAATCTCCCCAATAAAATGACAGAGGCTTTAACTTTTCCATTCTCCTTCCAAAACTAAAAGTACCATCCTTATCTTTAGATAATAGCACCATTAGTCTGAGAAAATATATCCTGCATGACTACTTCTGTAGAATAAGTCAATCCAGGAATGTTTTCAAAAGTAAAGTGGTTGACTATAGCCATACACTCAGCAATGCATTGATAGACCCCCTTATAAGTACAAGGTTAACTTTAAGATGATGACAAATCTAGAAGGTCTTCCTGCTCCTAGGCTTAGAGGAAACAATAGTGAACCCCATTGATAACTTCTTTCCCTGAAAATCAGGGGGATGTCTGCAATTTAGAGTAACCATGGATATGCAAATCTTTCCCCATAGCATCTCCTGTTATTTCATGTCTATAGGCATGTTACCCTCAATTGAAGACAGACCAGAAGTGAGACAGCAGCAAAATAAAGGGGATGGAAATGAGGATGAGCACGAAAGGGACACATGATACATATATCAGTAAGTATAGAAACAAAAACCTGAATATGGCAAAAAGTGTCCATTGTACTATGATGATGTATATACACTGTATATTTCTTAAAGTG